ATATCCAGAAGTGATGGACCTTGAGGATCCAACAACCCAAGTAGACAGTACCACCGATGTTGCTTCTCCAGAGGTAACAGTTCCCTCATCTCCTCTTCAGTCCACACCAGATTCACCTACTGAGCATCCAACCGAGGATGTAGTTATATCAAGTGAGGTAAACACAGAAAATTCTGACCTTTGTGATTTACCTATAACTGATCCTGTTGTTCCTAGTGAAAATTGTCCGAACAGATATGAGTTACCTCCTAGGAGAACTAGAGGAGTTCCTCCAAAGAGGTATGATCCAGAATATGAGGATTCCCGATCCAGATATCCTATAGGAAAAATCAGCAACGAGAATCTTGCCAGTAATGCTATCGCATTTACAGCTTCCCTATACTCTACTGAGATTCCTAAAACAGTGGAAGAAGCTCTTGCTAGTAAGGATTGGAGAAAGGCTATGGAAGATGAATACTTGGCTCTAGAGAAGAATGAAACTTGGGAGAAATGTGTTCTCCCAAAGGGAAAAAGAACTGTGGGGTGCAAGTGGGTTTTTACTGTGAAGTACCGGGCAGATGGTACAATTGAGAGACACAAAGCAAGGCTGGTAGCAAAAGGTTACACTCAGACATATGGAATTGACTATTCGGAGACTTTTTCACCAGTAGCAAAATTAGATACTATTCGGGTTCTGTTCTCTATTGCAGCAAACCAAGATTGGCCTCTTTATCAATTCGATGTAAAAAACGCTTTCCTTCACGGGAACCTTGCTGAAGAAGTCTACATGGAAGCTCCCCCAGGATATGCTGAAACATTTGAAGTAGGAGAAGGGTGCAGATTGAAGAAGGCTCTATATGGCTTAAAACAATCTCCTAGGGCATGGTTTGGGAGATTTACAAAGGCCATGAAAGTTTTTGGGTACTCTCAAAGTAACTCTGATCATACTCTATTTTTGAAGAAAACAAAGGGAAAAATCACATGCTTAATCATCTATGTGGATGATATGATCATTACTGGTGACGATGAGGAAGAAATAACTAATTTGAAGAAAAAACTGTTCCAGGAATTTGAAATGAAAGATTTGGGTAACCTGAAATATTTCCTAGGAATAGAAGTACTAAGATCTAAACAAGGGATCTTTATTCATCAAAGGAAATATATACTTGATCTATTGGCCGAAACAGGAATGTTAGGGTGTAAACCAGCAGAAACACCGATTGTTGCAAATCATGGACTTCAAATCTTAGAAGGAGAGAAAGCAACCAACAGAGAACAGTATCAGAAGATTGTAGGGAAACTCATTTATCTAGCCCACACAAGGCCAGATATTGCCTACGCAGTAGGGGTTGTGAGTAGATTTATGCATATGCCTCAAGTTCACCACATGACAGCTGTAATGAGAATATTGAGATACCTGAAAAATACTAGCACCACTGGGATCTACTTTGACAAGAATGATAACCTGGATTTAGTTGCATACACTGATGCAGATTGGGCAGGAGACCGGGATGGTAGAAAATCGACTTCAGGGTACTTTACCTTGGTAGGAGGAAATCTGGTCACTTGGAGAAGTAAGAAGCAGAATGTTGTAGCCTTATCAAGCGCAGAAGCAGAATTCAGAGGAATTGCAAAAGGGATAACTGAAATTCTATGGATTCGGAAGCTAATGAATGAACTTGGCTTTCCTCAGAAGACAGCATGTAAACTGTTTTGTGATAACAAAGCAGCTATAAGGATTTCGGAAAATCCAGTGCAACATGATAGAACGAAACATGTAGAAATTGATCGACACTTCATCAAAGAGAAATTAGAAGGGGGAATTGTTGAACTTCCATTTGTTCGATCAAAAGATCAACTGGCAGATATCTTGACCAAAGCGGTCAACTCTGAGGCCTTTAAAGAAGCACTTAGCAAGTTAGGCATTGGAGTACTGGATGCCCAACTTGAGGGGGAGTGTAGGAAATAAGTGATTCTCCTTAATCAAAGGAGTTAATTAGGTTGTAATTATGTTAGGAATATATTCTGCTTAGCTGTATTTCCTTATTTATCATAGCTCTTTGTGTATAAATGTAATGATAACCAAGAGTAATAAGGAGACAGAAATTGAAAACCAAAAACACAATTCCGCTTATTTTACACAGGAGAAACTAAGCAGTCGATGGTTGGCGGTGACCCATCACTCATAAAATCCTGGATCCGCCACTACCTGTAAAGGAGGCCACATATAATGATAACAAGATGATTATGTACGCTTTTACTAGAATTACATGCACACGTAAAATTTATACAAAAAATATTTATATATGACAGCTAACATTGTCTACCTTAGAATTAAAACAAAAATTGTATTATATATGGGGGTATTTAACTATTCAAGGCTATTTACTTGTTTTATGTGTGGATATCAAACTATTAAAAATTTGGTTGCCTTGAATAATAGAGATAAATCACCTTGCTTAATTAGTAGCCAAATATCTTTTTAATTTTGATTACTTTCAACTTTGTCACATTAGTTGCTCTTTGCTCCTGTTAAATAAAAAAGGTAGATATATAAACAAATTCCAATATTTTATGCTACTCTCATTTCAATAAATTATTGTAATTAACGCTTTCTGTTTTCATTTGTTTAAAAAAAATTACTTATGTTTCTATTTTTTTAATAAGTACTCCAAATGCCTTGCTTTTTTTTTTTTTTTTTTTTTTCCGAATACCCACATGCCTTGCTTAATTAGTAGCAAAGCATTAAAAAAAACAATTAGTGTATAACCTAGTATAATGCTATTCCAATAATGAATTGAAGTGAATAATGTGAAGTTATTTTCTTTGGGAATATCCGAATATACAATATCTCCTTGATAAACATTGCTGGCAAACTTGTAATAGCAGTTTTAGGGTAAAATCGCTAATGGTTTTAGCAGTTTTACCCCAAATATTACTATAGTATTATTTTTTTTAATCTGATTTAAAATAAACTTATTTTTCTAATATGATCAAAACTTTGAATAATAAGGTATTAAAATAATGTGAATTAAATATAGTATTAGCTAATGACTAATCACACATTCACAGTTTCACTTTTACACGTCATACAATAAATAGTAGGAGAATAATTCTACTGCATGGGCTTATCCATATTGCCATACATGGTACGTAATTCCCTTCTTAGTGGATTAGCTTTCTTCTTTAATTCTAGACCCTTAAATTTGGATCAAAGCTTTGAGCACTATTCACCTATTGCACTCAAAATTCGTTAGTTAAAGATCTACACAAAATTTCCTATGGAGAATAAATCTTAAGGAAGAAAAAAGAATGAAAAAGAAAAGAAAAAGGGTATATTTTATTAAATTGAATACAATTCTACTTCCTAGTGTAATTATAAGTTTAAAAAATACAAAGTATTGGAATGGGCATATGGGTGAGTTCATTTAAGCGTTAATCCATCCATCCACCCAATTCCAAATACGGCTATGTCTAATAAATTATACAATCCCAGTTTTATAATATTTGCAACAAATGAGTTTACAAGAGTTTCTAGGCAAAATTTGTTTGTGACTTTAAAGGGAGAGACATAGAGATGCATATAATGAGGAGAGACATATATAGAGATGCATATGATGAGGAGAGAAATCGAAAGAAATGACAACCTAAAAAGAAATTTAAATATTTGTTGTAAATAATGTGTAACATCCGTGTTTAGTAATGCTGCACATAATATGAAATTTTCAAAAGCTTATATAATTCCAAAAACTTTTATCTATAAATCAAAAGTTGATAGGTTTTAAATTTCATATGAACATCCAATAACTTATGTTCGTCTCACCTAGCCTAGACTCATACAATATTTTTGTCAAAATAATGTAAACAAAGAAATGGCCTTATATTATTATTCCAATTTGGTTTCTTTTCGCTTTAATTTCATTTTATCTTATTTTATCTTGTCTTATTAGCCTAAAGTCCCTCAACTTATTAACTATTGTTAGGACGAAGGGAGCGATTTAGATTGATGCCAATAACACATGTCAATGATATTGCAAAAGTATTGTATGGTATTATTATCAAAAGATAAAATCACAAAAGTATTGTACATCTATTAAAAGATGAAGAGCTTCCTTAATCCTTAAGAGTACAATAATCTCTTTCAAAATTTCAATAATTCAATGTATACGTAAATATCTTTTAATATTGCTATGATTAAGAGCTACTCCGTACCACTCTAGCAAGTTTACACCATTATTTATTTTTTTAAAAAAAACCTATCAATTTAATACACAAGTTCTAAATTTGAATAACTTTTGTCCATAACAGATACTTATATGGATGGTTTAAAAAAAAAAATTACTTTAAACGAGTCTCAATCAATTACCAAAAGATGAGTTTAGTTTAGTTAATGAATGGATTGAAAACTCAGATTGAGTGGTGACCTAAACTTTAGTAATCAAAAAGATTGAATTATTAATAACAAAGCCTAAACTAAATAGCAACAACTGATTACTCCATTAACAAAGTGAAGGCAAGAAAAAGACGCAACTCCAATCCTCTATCCTTTTTTTTTTTTTTTTTTTTTTTTTTTGTGTCTAATTTGACTTTTCACAATTTTCAGGACACTATTGATTTTCTTTTTTGAAAAGGAGTCTATAAATGCATATATCTTCATTTCTATACATAAATATGATTAAAATTTGAAATTAATAAAACATACCATGTGATGATTAATTTCATAATCAAATTTACAAGTATAAAATATTACTACCTCCGTTTTATATTTTTTTTTGCAATTTTAGAATATAATTTATAAAATATAAAATATTTCAAAATTGTAAAAAATATGAAATAAAAGTAGTAAAATTTTAAACCAAATATATACAATGAGGCAAAACCTGAGGAACGGATGGAGTACATGTGTACATGAATGTATCTTCTTCTTTTGAACAAGAGAGTAGTGAAAGTGTGAAGTGGACCATAATATCTGAGGGGGCAAAATAGTAATTTGACAAAGACACAATAAATACACCCAAATTTACCTTTAATTTTTTAATTAACATCTAACAGAGGCGCGATTTGTGTTCCTCCATCCATTTTTTCTCTCTCCTCTCTCTTCGTGCAATCCACTCCACCTTCATCATCCATCACCTACATTCTGGAAATTCGATCCAATTTTTTTGATCAAATTTTCTCTAAACCCTAATTTTTCTAATTTCGATCCCAATTTTTTTGTTTTTTCGAGGTATAATTCGATTGATTTGATATTTTTGTCTTATACACTGCACGCAAAATTACACCTAAGTGCCAAAAAATTAAAAAAATTATTAATGAAAATCACAATTTGATCTGAAACTTCGCGATCAGATCTGGTGTCATTGAATCAGAGAAATTGTTTGATTAAAGTCTGCAATTTTTTTTGCTCGACTGATTGAAATTTGTTATCGTGTTCAGTGCCACAAATTGAATTTGAAGGACAAATCTTTCTGTTTTTTTGGCTGATTTAACACAATTATCGAAGCGAATTGTTTAGGGCTTATCGCCCTCTCAAATTTGTGATTGTTTTTTACCTTTTTGGATCGACGCTTTGATCTTTACCTCACAACACCGGTTAGTCACTTTCTCTCTCCTCCTCCTTCTCTTACTTAGCTTTCAGTAGCTGTTTTGAGCTTCTCTTTTTGTATTTTCTTTTTTACTGCAATCAATTATTGTAGTAGCTTGATTTATAATGTACATTGGGTGAAATTAGGGTTCTTGTTCAACCGCTTTTCTTAGTTATATCTGGAATTTCTGATTTGGCAATTTGGAGGTGAGAAGAGGATATATAATTGAGTGATTAACTAATTTTGGTGGAAATGCAATTACTGTTATCGAGAGAATTATATAGTTCTGATCAGCATTTTAAATTTTAATATAATTGTTTGTTAATAATTATATCTGTCCGTTACATTGATTCGAGCTTTACTGTTGTTGCAGATGTAGTTTGACGATGGTGGATACTTCGTAACGAATCAGTTGAACTTTGGGGAATTAGTTGTGAAATGATCACTATTAAGATTGAGGGATGCTTGAAATAATCAGCTCTTTCTAATTCTTGAATGAGGGAGAAGAAGAAAAAGAGAAATTGATCAAATTGTGCTTTGGAGCTTCTACATTCTGTAGCTTTTTAGACTGGTGGAAGTTATTTTGTGAGTGCTTCTTTAATGTGCACTTTAGAATTCTGTATGATTTCTGTTGTTGAGCTGTTTACTTAGGTAAGCTGAACCTTCTTTGTATGCAGTGTGTAGGATTGGTCTATAGCTAGTAAACGGGTTATCTTTGTACACATGCCTCATTTTCGTTTTCAACTTTTGAGGCCGAGACTGACTTATTCGATGTGGAAGAGTACACAAGACCAGTTTCATTATTGACGATAGTTTTGCTAAGAGGGTGGTTGTGAGGCCTCCTATTCCTGGCTATAGAAAATAAACAATCTTATTCTGTTGGCTCTCTCCTTGAGCTATCTTCTCTGTAACACCCCACACTAGACCGCAAGCGCCTCGTGTCGTGGGGTGGAATGGAGCAAGTAAGTCGTCCTGCTAGTTTTGAGATTTCTGGTACTGCATCTAGGGTGCAGGAAAAATTAAGAAAGTCTCAAGCTGTTTTCTATAAGAGTGGGCAGTTGGATGATAATATTTTCTGTGATCAAAGTCCAAGGTTAGTCTATATTGATGATCCACAGAGGACAAACAATAAGTATGAATTTTCAAGTAATGAGATCCGTACTAGCAAATATACATTGTTCAATTTCTTGCCCAAGAATCTCTTCATCCAGTTCCACCGGGTTGCTTATCTGTATTTCTTAGCCATAGCTGCTCTGAACCAACTTCCTCCGCTTGCAGTCTTCGGAAGGACAGTGTCTCTCTTTCCTCTCCTGTTTGTGCTTAGTGTAACTGCCATAAAAGATGGTTATGAAGACTGGCGGAGACACAGGTCAGACAAAAAAGAGAATAACAGGGACGCTCTTGTGCTTCAATCAGGGTTTTATGAGATGAAGAAGTGGAAGGATATCCAGGCTGGTGAGATTGTGAAGATATTTTCTAATGAAACAATTCCTTGTGACATGGTATTGCTGGGAACGAGTGATGCTAGCGGTATTGCCTACATTCAAACAATGAATTTAGATGGTGAGTCTAATTTGAAGACCAGGTACGCGAGACAAGAAACAGCATCAGTTGTTGCAGAAGGAGGAACAATTTCAGGGCTGGTCAGATGTGAACAACCAAATAGGAATATCTATGAGTTCACTGCCAATTTGGATTTTAGAGGGAATAAGTTTCCCCTCAGTCAATCAAATATTATCTTGCGTGGTTGTCAGCTGAAAAACACAGAATGGGTGATCGGTGTTGTAGTTTATACTGGTCAGGAAACTAAAGCAATGTTGAATAGTGCAGCTTCCCCTGCTAAGAGAAGCAAATTGGAAAGTCACATGAATCGGGAAACCCTATGGTTGTCGTTTTTTCTTCTTATCATGTGCTCTGTTGTGGCTCTTGGAATGGGCCTGTGGCTTGAGCGCCACAAGGAGCAGCTTGACACTTTACCTTACTATCGAAAAAGATATTTTACTGGCGGACGAAAGGAAGGAAAAAATTACAAGTTTTATGGGATTGCTATGGAGACTTTCTTTGCGTTCTTGAGTTCCATTATAGTCTTTCAGATAATGATACCTATCTCACTTTATATCACAATGGAGTTGGTTAGGCTTGGACAATCCTATTTCATGATAGGAGATAAGCATATGTACGATAGCAGTAGTGACTCAAGGTTCCAATGTAGATCATTGAACATAAATGAGGACTTGGGCCAGATACGTTACATATTCTCAGATAAGACTGGGACACTTACACAAAACAAAATGGAATTTAGGACAGCTAGTATTTATGGAAAGATGTACGGGACTTTATCTTTTTCTGCTGCACCTTCATCAGGCCAGAGTCTTTCAGGTAATCAGTGGTCTGTTTTTATGATGCATGTTCTTCTTGAGTTTCTAGATGTATTTCAAATTGATTATTGTATATACTGAGCTAGTCTCCTGATTGTTTAGCACTTTTATTTTTCCTTCTCCGTACTACTCTTCATTTTTCTTCTCTGATTATATTCACATAGTTATGGCGTACTATCTTTCTTGTTTAATTTTTTAGCCGTAGTGTTTATTATTATTTTAATAAATGTCAGTAAGCTGATGTAAATCCTCAATTTTTTCTTTTTCTTTTTGAATCTTTTCAAATATTACTATATTATGACCACGTAATCACCTATGCAGCATTTTTAGTATCAATCTCCAGTTTACAGCAGGTTCTGTGATTTGTTTGGAGCTTGTGTTGAGTGTTTTGCAAATTTAACTACATATTCTTTGTTTAAATTTGTATGCGAGTATGTGACTGCTTGAAAAGATTATTGAGGCCAGTTAATTGCCTTCCTTTGGAAAAATTCTATCTCTTCAATTTCATCCACTTTGAAGACCTATTTACAGTAACAAAAATGAATTTATAATTATGTAACCCAGCCTGTTACCGAAGAGAAAAATCTTGATTATTTAGCTAGTATTGGGGAATTGAAACTAATCTTAGTGTGTGAATATTAAATTATGGGTCCATGCCTGTGTGAAGAAGCTTTGTTGTGTTTTTGGCAGATATGCGATTTATGCCGAAGTACTTTCATAGAGGTTTTGCGTGCAAGGATTTAAGCTATTGAAGTTGCAAATATTGATTGATTTATATAATAAAGTCACAGTTCAAATTTTTTATGTCATCAGTTAAAAATTATATATGATGCACTGAAGCATGCATTTCAGCAAAGGGCTTTGAAGATGCATATGTTGTATGTATATTAATCAGTACAATCCCTTTACTCTGTAGAGTTTGAACGCTTACAGTTGGCCTTTAGCTCCACATACGTAGCGAAATGAATAAATTAATGTCAGAGGGAGGGAGAGAGAGAGAGAGAGAGAGAGAGGGGGGGGGGGGGAGGGGGAGGGAGGGAGGGAGGGAGGGGGAGGGGGAGAGAGAGAGTGGGTAAGTAGATAACGAAACAACTCAAAACAGAAAGTGGGTTGAATCGGAGGCATAGAAGGTTATAAAAGGTAGAAGGTAAGTAGATAACGAAACAACTCAAAACAGAAAGTGGGAAAGTGGGTTGAAAAAAATCGGAGGCATAGAAGGTTATAAAAGGTAGAAGGTAGAAGGTAAGTAGATAACGAAACAACTCACAGAAATTGGGAAAGTGGGTTGAAAAAAACCGGAGGCATAGAAGGTTACAAACTTTTGTAACTTGAGCCAAGTTAATGTGCCTTACGTTCTCATATATGACAATTATATTCTTTTAATTGCATTTGAATGTCTTGAGCTACTGCATCTTTTTGTTCATTAGTATCTTGTTGGTTTGTAGATCGGTTGATAATCCTGCAGATTTAGATCAGTAGGGGGAGTAAGTCCCTGAACTTTTGAAGTTTTAATGGTAAATCTCTGAGTCTCTTAATAATTCCTCTTTGTATATTTGCAGGAGTCGGTGGTGTGACCTATGTGCCTAGAAAAAAGTGGAAACTGAAATCTGAAGTTGGTGTTGATTTTGAACTTATGGAATTGTTGCATAAAGAATTGGAAGGGGATGACCGAAATGCAGCCCATGAGTTCTTCTTGACATTGGCTGCATGTAACACTGTCATTCCTATTTTCAATCAAAGTGCTGCTCTGGAGCATGTAGGAAATGACGCTGAAGTAGATGCTGAGGCAATTGATTACCAGGGTGAATCTCCTGATGAGCAAGCCCTTGTTGCTGCTGCTTCTGCATATGGATATACCCTTTTTGAGCGCACTTCTGGTCACATTGTGATAGATGTCAATGGGGAGAAGCTCAGGTAAGAGTTTATATTCAGTTTGATTTACAATTGTAAGACTCAGCAATCAGTATGCTGGAGATAGAAGAAATGCACCTAGTTTCTCTCTCCTTCCCTCCATTAGCATGTCAGTTGTTGGTCTTTTTTTTTTTTTTTTTTTTCTTTTTTCTTTTTTTCTGGGTATTTGACCATATCATGATATACAGTGCTACTAAGCTTTATGGACTGGTATTGCGTAATTTGTATTCCATTGTTCGCTGTGGAAGTTTTTATATGCTTTCTCCATTATTATTGTGTTTGTATGTGTAATCATTAAACAGTGAGAACTAAAATGGTTTCTGAAGACCCACCTTCAAAGATGTCCTGTTTAATGACACTGTGAACTGTCCTTTGGATTTACTAAATTCCAATGGGGGAGAGGGGTGGGGGGTTTGTCTTTTTCCCATCCAGTTGAAAGGTGAGGTGCTTTAACTGTTATTGTAAGCCATCATAACACTTAACAAAATGCTATTGGATAAAGTTAGTCAAAATTAAAGGGCGCAATGTAAATTTAAATAATTTTGGTCTTATGCATGGAATTGTCAAACATAGAAGGGGTAGTATACAGAATCTTCCATACATAAATCTTAACATTCTTCCCAACATACAATGTTCCATTTTTCCTCAATAAACAGAACTATTGAAAGTTTGGTTTCTAATGAAATTTGGAATGCTCATATTAATTCTATTCAAAAATTAAATATCTGTATAAATAGTTTCCCATCTTTACCAGCCATTTTTCCTGATTCCAGATGACCTTGGTGATGGACAGATGATAATGTCATTTATCACAAAATTGATGCAATGTCTTTATGGATTTAATTGAATTATTTATCATAAGGGATTAATATACGTAGTATACATTTTTTTTTGGGTTCTTCTTAAGTCACTTGCTGGATGCTTTATTATCTTTAATTATGTATATTTGTAAAAAATATACTAGTATAAAGTTTTTATTTTTTAATTTTTTTTTAATTTTTTTTATTTAAATCACTCATTAAAATGAATCAAACAGTACCCCACGTGATGATAATATAATATTTTGATGTTTGTTTGAGTAGAAATACTTGGTCAAATATATAAAACTTTGACCTCAAAATGTAAAGTGTGACCTTTTTTCCTTGTCTCGTTCTACAACTCTTCTATCTACATCTAAGCAAAATAGTTGCAGATTTCAGATTACATACATATATACATACATGTTTCTTACCAACACTAATCAGGTTTTCTATTTTGTAGGCTGGATGTGTTGGGTCTGCATGAATTTGATAGTGTTCGGAAAAGGATGTCGGTTGTGATTAGATTTCCTGACAATTCTGTCAAAGTATTAGTAAAAGGTGCTGATACATCTATGTACTCTATTTTGGCCAAAGGAATGGACAGGGATGATCAAGTAGAAACTGCTACTCATGCTCATCTTCTTGAATATTCTTCGTTTGGTTTACGCACATTAGTTGTGGCTGCACGAGATCTAACAGATGGAGAACTTGAGGAGTGGCAGAAAAAGTACGAGGATGCTAGTACATCTTTGACTGATAGATCTGCAAAGCTACGTCAAACAGCAGCTTTGATTGAACGTGACTTGAGATTACTTGGGGCTACTGGTATTGAGGATAAATTACAAGTTGGTGTACCTGAAGCTATTGAGTCACTTCGTCAGGCGGGCATTAAAGTTTGGGTTTTAACTGGTGATAAGCAAGAGACTGCAATTTCCATTGGACTTTCCTGCAAACTCTTGACCTCTGATATGCAGCAGATCATTATCAACGGCACTTCAGAACAAGAGTGCAGAAGCCTCTTAGCTGAGGCGCAATCTAAATATTTTGTCACATCAGAATGTTCTGGGGAACAGAGATTGATACGGAAAAAGGACGCTGCAAATGTTTATGTTGAGATCCCAGATGATTCAAAGAATGTAGATATAGTGTCATGGAACCCAGGAAAGGAAGAAGAACTGCCAAATTCTTCACTGGCGCTAATTATTGATGGGAATAGTTTGGTTTACATACTTGAGAAAGATCTTGAGTCACAGGTGTGTAAATATTTTGACTAAGCCGTCTTTATGGTAGTATTTTAGTTCATTACCTTTTGGTGTTGGATATTAGTCATGCAGTTTTGAAATTTTGATTCTATAGTTATCACTTCTGCTGCAGTGGCGCTTTTTCATACTATAAAGCTTAAAATCTATTTTAATATGTATGAGAGAATCTCATGATTATTATAATTATTAGTCTATTTTGCTTGTTACAGCTTTTTTATCTTGCAACTTCTTGTCAAGTTGTGGTTTGCTGTCGTGTTGCACCCTTGCAAAAGGCTGGGATTGTTGATTTAATCAAGAGTCGCACTGATGATTTGACACTGGCTATTGGTGATGGTAAGTTAGGTTTTCTGATTATTACTTTTGTACCATTGTTTAGGCTTTAATTTTCATGATCTCATGAAAAAGAAGTATTGCAAAATAAGTTACATAGCTACCCCGTCCCGGCTAATCCATTCCCCATGTTTTGATGGAAGTTTGTTATTTATGGATTTGAAATACTGTATAATTTTACTGACAAGTTACTCTATTTTCACTAGACTTGTAAAATATTTTCATTTTATTGCCAACTTAAATAGAAGCCTTAGTTTTAAGGTACTGGAGCATGCTTGGTTTTGATTTGGGATTTGGTACAAAACCTATTATGTGTAAAATATATTCCTTGTTTGTTTAAAAGGAATATATTAAGTTAAGAATCACCTTTCTTATGCAAAGTGAACTTATGAATCTAGGTGCAAACGATGTTTCAATGATTCAAATGGCAGATGTTGGGGTTGGAATCTGTGGTCAGGAAGGACGCCAGGCGGTTATGGCATCTGATTTTGCTATGGGACAATTTCGGTTTCTGAAAAGACTTCTCTTGGTGCATGGACATTGGAACTATCATCGTGTTGGTTATCTGGTTCTCTACAATTTCTACAGAAATGCAGTTTTTGTACTCATGCTGTTCTGGTATGTGCAACCTGGTTTGGGTCCTAGTATATCAGTTATCAATCTAACCATCGAGTATATCTTAGCTTTTATCAATGTGTCTGATATTCAGTAAGCATAGCTGCATCGTCTGCATGTATCATCTCTTTTTCTAATAAATGCAAGCATTTTTGTCTGTATTTGTTGTTTCGTATAATCCTATCAGGAGGACATCTACCATGAAGTTTTATTGTGGGTATGGGTAAATTTTGTGATTCGGTATTTAGTATGTCTTGGAAGTGACGTATCCTATGGTTAGATAATCGTTTCTTTGAAGGGGCATCATATCCTTGCTGGTTGTTACTAGATGTAAAAGTTAGTAATCCTATGGTTAGAATGTTTTGTTTCTTTGAGGGGCATCATATTCTTGCTGGTTGATTCTAAATGTAAAATTTAGTAATCTGATCTGGATATGTTGTTCCATTTTGTATCTATATGCTGCACAAGGGAATTATAGTGGGCTGTCACTTTGATGTATTGTAGAATGAATGATGCTATTTAATCTTCTTACTATGACACAAGGATAATTGCAGTGTCCTTTTGTTTTCTAAGTTCTTTGATGCTCTAGGGGCTCGTCATACATATTGTAAGCAAATCTAGGTAGCTATTATGAGTAGCCCATGCTAGAAATTTTGATATTGTCTTCTTTGTCAACATTTTTTCATCTTTTAATCAAATTACACATTTTACTCAAAAAATTATACAAATTATACCTAATGAACATTGTACGAGCACAAGAGAATTCTTCTGAAATATCCTTCAAATATTCTGTGATTGGAATGTATAACTTTTGGCCTTTTCGTTGTTGAATGTTCGTAATTGCCTATGACATGATCTGTTCTGAAGTCTCAAGCTATCAGATATAGGCCTTTGTTCCAACCAATTATATTAGTTTTAACATTCACCTTTGGTTGTCTCAGGTATATATTGTGCACTGCTTTTTCAACAACTCAAGCGTTGACTGATTGGAGCAGTGTCTTTTATTCTGTTATATACACTTCTGTGCCTACTATTGTTGTTGGAATTTTGGACAAGGACTTGAGTCATAAGACATTGCTCGAGCACCCAAAGCTCTACAGTGCTGGGCACAGACAAGAGAGCTATAATTTGCAGCTATTTTGGATAACAATGCTTGACACCTTATGGCAGAGTCTTGTTCTCTTTTATGTTCCCCTGTATACGTATTTTGATAGCACCCTTGATATCTGGAGTTTGGGCAGTTTGTGGACTATTTCTGTTGTACTCCTTGTTAATATGCACTTGGCGATGGACATTCAACGCTGGGTAATTATCACTCATGCTGCTGTATGGGGATCAATTATTATTACTTGTGTATGTATGGTGGTTTTGGATTCAATACCTGTTTTTCCAAACTACTGGTCAGTTCTCAATTTTGCTGTTTGAAATTCATCATAATTTAATTTAATTGTGTGGACTATTTATGTAAAGTCTTATCCATCCTCTTTGCATTACAGGACCATTTATCATCTTGCAGTTACACCTACCTATTGGCTAACAATTGCATTGATATTAGTCGTGGCATTGCTTCCCCGCTTTCTTTGCAAAGCTGTGTATCAAATGTTTTGGCCTTCCGATATTCAAATAGCCAGGGAAGCTGAGATAACGAGCAAACGGAAAAAACTGGATGCAAAAGCAGAGTATGCCAGCTGATGTGTATAATGCACAAACGTACAGGCTTAGTTGTTGAGATCACTCCACTACCCCTGATTGTGCACTAATTTTATATATTGCCCACAGCCCTCAGTATCCACCAGTAAGCATCTGATTTTTTTATATATATATATATATGTATTTTTTTTTTTTTTTTTGTGTGTGAATTTCTTCAATATTCAATAATAATTATTGGTATGATGTTTTATTTATTATACATATTAATGGCTAGGTGTGACATGCATTATCCTAAAACTTGGCTGTATGTTATTCACCCTTTAATCAGAAAAAACTAACTAGATTTCAGAGCCATGGATAAATGCAACCTGTATGAAAGTTAATCAACCTTTTGTGTTCTGAATGCATCATTGTTGATAGAGAAGTACCTATCTTCATTGTTCTTCTGTTTTCATGAAATCAATTGCTGCTGCAGATCATGATGCCTTTCATGTTCACTTGCTTCAAAGACTCGTTTATGAATATATTTTTACAAAACTATAACCAAACTACAGTGTATCCGTGCTATGTAATGTATGTATGTTTAAAAAAAAAAAAAGTTGAAGTGGAAATTATAAATTTTTATTATTATTTTTATTATTATTATTATTTTTTTTTTTTTTTTTTGTGGAAGGTTGGAAGTTATTTGGAGGTCATTTAAATTAAAATACAAACAAAAAAGGCAGTGCTTAGATTTTGAGAATTTTAGTTTTGAAAGCTTGTGATTGGAATTTGGAAAAGACCAAAAAAACTGTTTAATTATTATATAGATATTTGAGCTGTATATTCCATTCCCCATCTAGTTCAATTACTGCCACTGAAGACCTAGAACAAACCTGCTGCATATCAGATTATACCTAGTAGAAATCCGATTTCGGATCGGATATCCGTATCTGAAAATCCAGATATTTGATATCCGATCCGAAAATTTCGGATATCCGATATCCGTATATCCGAAATTTTCGGATCGGATAACTCGGATATCCAATATCCGACCCTTTTTATAATGCAGTTAAAATTCTAATTATTTGGCAAAAATTATTTGTTCTTTTTTTGAAATTATTTGTTGTAGAGGCCAATTGATAGTAATTAAACTTCTTAATTAACAATTTATTCAAAAAAAAAAAATAATTAACAATTTATTCCCACAAATGACCTTATGTTCATAAATTGATTTACTATGGTTCATTTTTAAAAAAATAAACAGAAAAATCAAATTTATAAAACAAACCAACCCACCCACCACCCAACCACCACTTCTGCCACCACCACCTCACCCTCATCCCTAACCAACCTCCCCCACCCCACTTGAACCGAAACCACCAACCCCACCTTAGCTGCCAACACCATCACCCCCACCCAAGATTTGACCCCCCTCCACCCAGACCTGAAATCGAAACCCCCTCTCACCCAGACCCGAAATCAAAACCCCCTCTCACCCGACCTCCAACTACATCAGCAACTCAGCAAGCAACAACATCAATGGCATCAGTAGCCCGACCTCCAAGCCACCATAGCACATCTCCAGTCTCTGGACTTGAAGAAAAGAGTGTCTGGGGTGAAGAGTAAATAGGGGGCATGTTTCGTGGGTAGCTGGGGTATGGTGCTCGGGTTTCAGGTTGGTTGGTGGTCGGAGTTTCAGGGTGGCTGGGGTGGTTGGAGTTGGGGGGTTTTGTGGGTGGTCGGGATCAGGGTTAGCTGTGGTGGGTGGTCGAGGTTAGGAGAGAGAATAAAGGTGGTGGGGTGGGAGTTAGGTGGTGATGTGGTGGTGCTTATGGAAGGGTGGTGGTGGTTATGAACGAAAAAGAACACACTTTCTTTGAAAAGAGGAGAGAGGAAGTAGAGAAGAAGATGGAAAAGTTTAGAGAATGAGGGAAGAAAAGGATGGAGCCATGGAGGATAGGAGGTAGTTTCAAAGATGAGGAAAGGAGAGAGAAAGCCAGAGAGAAAGAGAAGAAGAGAGGCGGGTGGGGGTCTGGGGAAGTGGGGATTGAGGGTCTAAAGTTTTAGGGTTTGGCTAATGGGGTATTTTTTCGGATATCCGACTTTTTTCGGATATCGGATATCCTAAATCCAAAATTTGGATATCCGATATCCGAAAAATCCGGATCGGATATCTGATCCGAAATCAAATTCGGATCAGATATCCATAATTTTCGGATCGGATCGGATCATCGGATTTTCGAATCTTCAGATAGTTTTGCTCAGCCCTAGTTCGGAGATACCCTTTTTTTTTTTTTTTTTTTTCCTCTCACTTTTTTATTGGAGCGACTAAGGTGTAGTCAATATTCAAATTAGGCTAGTACTATATGTTTCATACAACATCAATAGGCTTGTTGGGCTGACTGATCTTATGGATATGCACTGGGAGCTCTGGTATGCAATGAGATTCAAATTTTTTATTGTTCCTCCCTCTCTTTGCTGAATCAATTCTTGTGGCCTACAATTATCAAAGGGCAATAGCAAGTCCCAGAAATTTTATTTATCCAAATGGGCACCTAAAGTTTGCTTTTGGAAATTGGGTCAACAATATTAGACTAAAACAAATTCATAAAGCCAACAGATGACAATTTTCGGTTGATATGTGTTCGCAAAGTCAACAGTTGGATGATTAGGGCTAGAGTCGACTAGTGTGTATTTTTGTTCAGTAATCCAGCTCTTGGTAGCTTATACAAGTCTGTCAGAACTTTAAGATTTTTATCTGTTATTAAGCATTTATCTTCTGATATAAATAGAAAACTTCAAGTTGAGCAACTGAAGTAGTGACAGAACTAGCAACTAGGCGTATTATCACTTACATTGTGCAAGAGAAAAGCATCAGACAAGGCATCAGACAAAGCAAGAGTTGAGAAAGATAAACTCTATCAAATGAGAGCATCAAATTCTCTCATGGCCATCAATGACTTTTAAGGAACATGCCAGAGAGGACACAACTCTCTTGTCTCGATTCAACTATTTGTTTGCCTATAATTCGGAGAAGTTACTGATATTCCAATCTGGACTCAATTGTTTGTGTGTTGTTTTTAACCAGTCTTGTTGATCTGGTTTCACTCGTGAACATATTACAGTGAATTGTGGAGCAAAGTATTTAAGTGTGGTTTTCTTTTCTGCGAAGCACAATAGGAGCACTACGTATAAGGCTATAAGCTTCTATATAGTGTATTTCAGAAATTCTCTACCACTCTAATTTGGTTAAGGATACTGCATACAGTCTGGCTAGAGGCGAGCTCCAATGGTGGTGCTCATATTCCAATCAAGTTTGATGCAGTAGTTGCTTTTGCAACAGTTCATGTCATCCTCTGGTTGGGTTTTAGAACTATTCTGCTGTTGTATATTTTTATTTGAAGCCATTCTAAGCATGAATGCAATTATTTAGATCCTCCATTTTCTTTTATTTTCTTATTATAATTATTCTTTATATCCAGGTGGTGTTATGCAGGCTTTCGGATCAATGTACTGATATGGCGGTCGTTTCAATTTATGATTAGGCACAGTTGACCAGAGCAGAAACAAGAATTTCAGAGAATTCAAGGGGATGTACCATTTAATAAAAATCCCATCTCAGGAGAGTTTTTTTCTGGACGAGTCAAGACTCAAGGCATGATTATAACAGGTGGTTCGAGGAAGGGGGAAATAATTGTATGTATCTGCATCGACACAATTCTCAGTACAGGATACATTGGCAGCAATTTGTTGCCCAGGGGTTTGTTCATACGGAAAGACCCGTAGATAGAAAGAAAAAAAAATAGTATAGTACATAAAATTGTTAGCTTCATGTAAAGATTAGGTCTGTCAATTTATCTAAACTGTCACGATCGAAATGAAAAGAGCGCTTTTGTAATCAAAGTTGCTTGTTGATTGTTGTTTTTCAGTAACATCAAAACTCAAAAGGGCACGAAAATTCTCATATTGATTTGACATTTACTCATACAATGTATATGAAAGTTGAGTTTAAATAACATTTAGCCAAGATAAAATATTATTGATAAAAGGATCTTGCTAAATAACGCCCCGGGGCGTTGGATAAACGTTCAAAATATTTCTTAAATAATATTAATTTGGGAATGTATGCTAAAATTACGCGTCGATCAGTTTAATTAATGCTCATTTTAATTTGATAGGGGGTGTTTGTTAGCTTTTACTTTGATAAAAACATAATAAAAAAAAAATGGAAATGTGTACAAACGTCCAAACATTATCATATTTAAACAACGAAGGAAGTATATTTATCATCATATTTAAAGAACGAAGGAATTTATTTTTATCCTATTTCCGACATTTGTATCCACTAATTCTTTTATCAGGAAGAGGGATGGACGGATGGTGAGGGTATAGCACAATCTTACCAAATTCAGTGGAATGAGAATGGGGCTACTGTCTATATTATCTATTATTGTAATCAATTATAATAAGATTGTTTAGTCCACTTGAAAGTATTTGGTGGATAATTAGTACGGTAGTAGTAACTAGTAAGTGCCAAAGAGTTCGAATATGGAAAGTCTAATCACACATTTGGTACGACTTCCATTTGGATGCTTTATTTCCTCCCAGATAGTTTGGTGGACTAATTAGGAATTTTATACACAACAATCTAAATATTTCTAACGCGTACTTATAACAAAGTCGTTTTTTATTTTTTATGAAATTAAATTATGTTGGCAAAAGCTAACGAACGTCTCAATTTTATACCGATCGACGCGTAATAATGTCAACACTTTAACTTTTGCATTATTCATATGGTTACTTTCTATATTTTTTACCAATATATAAAAAACATATGTTGCTATGTAAAACAATTGGTATCAGAACCGAGGTTAGAAGATCCGTCGTAGGGGGAAGAGTAACGCGTAGGGGAAGAACTGATAAAGTACGATGGGCACGAGTGCACCAAAATTTGAAATTCCCTTATTTGACGAGAAAATCAATTTTATGATATGGAAGAGCACCATTGAAGACATGTTGGTGCAACAGAATTTGGATGAAGCTTTGGAGAAGGAGAAACCTGCAAAATTGGATGATGCCGCGTGGGCATCCAAGAAGAAGAAGGCAGTGAGTACGCTCCGGTTAGCGGTTGCTTCGGAAATTAAGTATAATTTTCTAACTGAGACAGATCCAAAGGTCTTGTTAGAAAAGTTGCAGAGCATTTATGCTTCAAAGTCATTAACCAACCGATTGTGTTTACGGTGGGAGTTGTACCAATTGCCAATTGCCGAATGCCGATGAGAAAATTCAGATCAAGAGCAAGCCCTCTTGTTATTGGCTTCACTACCGAAGTCCTATAGGCCGATTGTGTAGACATTGCTTGTGGGAAAGGAGAAGATTACTCTAGATGAAGCAATAACAATTGTGAGGGAGAATGAGCATATGCTGACACAAATTGATGGAGGTGTCTCATACAACTAAAGATGGGCAGCAGGTCGGGTCGTACCGTCGCAGGCCAGCCATGGCGACGGGCTGTGCCGTGCCTCCATTTCCACCAGGCCAATCCACGGCACGGCACGACCCACGTGCTGGCCAGCCCACGTGCCTGGCACGTTCTTCAGGTTTTTTTTTTTTTTAAGAAAAACAATACATTATCAAGGACTAGCAGTGGAGGGTTCCGAGAGAGGGAGGAACAAGTCAAGGAGAGATGACCAAAGGAGTAGATTGAAATCTCGGCCGAGAGATTATAGTAATGTTGAGTGCTATTATTTTCATGAGAAGGATCATTTACAATTTAATTTTCCAAAGATTAAGGAAGATTTGAAGACCTTGAGGCAGTTGTAAGGGAAGATGGGCAAAATGAAGGTGGATGATGAAGGTGGTTCCTCTAATGTTGTATGTGGTGAGGAGTTGTTGTTGACTCACGGTGATAAAGAGAGTGTGAGTCAAGATAAGTGGGTGCTAGATTTGGCCGCTTCGATACATGTGTGTCGAGACAAGGCGATATTTGACACCTTACAACAAGAAGGTGAGTTCGGGAACATTAACATGGGACATAACCTCAAAGTTGAAGGCATGGGTAGTGTGCGGTTAAGGTTCCATGATGGTGTAGTTCGTACCATTCAAAATGTGAGGTTTATACCTAGTGCACGTGCCAACTTGATATTGTTAATTGGGAGAGTTGACAAAGCACGAACATAGGTACGTTGATAGTGGAAGGTGGTATAAGGTGTACCAAGGCAACGGCTTAGTGTTGCAAGGCAAGAAGGTGAATAACAATATTTGTTATTTGAAGGGCCGAGTAGTTCAAGACCACAAAATGAAGACCGTGAAAAATTTTGAGAAAAGGGTCCCCGTTTTTGTGATGAAGTAGAAGTGTTTGGTGATTTGGGTCGAGGGAGGAATTTGTTGGGTTAATCTCCCCAAATCCCAATTTGTTAGGTAGTTTTATTATTATTGTTAGTAATAATAATTATGTAGTAAGAGAAAAGAAAAATAAGTAAAAATTGAAAAAAATGATGTCATAAGTAGTAGTGATATGATTATGATAGTGTCATGATAAGCCTAGTGTACTAGTGCTAAGCAATAGGTATTGATTTTTGGTGGCTTGCAATTATGGCATGTGGTAGAAACCTTATTTAAGAAGCTTTGCACATATATGTGTATATATGTGTAATGTGCTGGGAGTATTGAGGGTGTGAAGTAGAAGAAGCTACATGCAAAAAGAAGTAGAGCAGCAATAATCTCAAAGAGAAGGAGATACATTGCTGTAGTTGTGAAGGAGGAAGTGACGGAAAGGCAAACACAACATTAGTGTGAGGGGTATTTTAGAATTAGTATAAGTACCAATGTTAAGGGTACTAGTGTAGACTGTCCTAAGAATACTTCGTATCTAATATTGTAATTGTAGTAGTGGTCATTGTACTCCCGAAATTATTGCTAGTAAAGTTGTTTTCGTCCGTGGAGATCCGGACCGCGGTTTTTCCCCTTATTGTTGAGGAGGGGTTTTCCACGTAAAAATGTTGTGTGTTGTTTTTGTTGTTCCGTATTTAATTATTCTTCCCGATATTGTGTTTATTTGTTGCTCTGACCCCCAACAAAACATTTTTGGATTAGTTGAATGGTTTAGAAACAACTAAAAGAAATGTCATTGATTGTTAGTCTCCCTTTGCCGAAGTTAGGGTTAGTTGAGTTGCTTGCTCTTTTCGGTATGGTGGATGATTGAATAATTGATCGATTCGTTAATATTGTTTCATGTTTGGATTGTAATAAAAGTCAATTTTTCTAATATGTACTCACATAATTATGAATAAGATGAAAAACATTTACACTATTAAAACAAATTATTAAAAGATTAACACAAATCGACTTTCTTTTACTAAATAACTCAATATAATTCATCTCGACAATGGCTCAAAATACATCTTTTACGAGTCTTGCATAAATTATTTGAAAATTATTGCTCATCCAAGAAAAATGAAGAGTAGACCAACTTCATGACATCTCCTATATTCTTATCAATCCTATGTGAAGACTTGAACGTGTGGGGGTCAAAGTTCAAAGACAACTTAATACCAACTCTCCCACCAACACCTGGGACATTACTTTTTGACTCTACTTTAAATTTTTTCTCTTTACAAATTGTGTCTGCGCCATATTAATTAGTAACCGTATTCTTAGATCATCATTTGCATAGATTCTGTTAGATAAGCGTTTTAATAAATATTAATGGGGTTGTAACTTGTAGGAAATACATTTAAGGTACTTATGAGATTTTTGGTATCGTATTGGTTTAAATCTACAAGTGTTACCGTATTAATTATTTTTGGGATAATAACCATCAGTATTTGAACAATTTATATAACAACATATGAAATTATGTGAATATATATTGGCTTAGTTGTCCAGACAATGCTCTGAATTGTTGCTTGTATTTTGAGATTAAAAATTTTAAAGTAAATTTTTAAAATATTTTTTTAAAAAATAAAAATAAATTGATGGTACCCTAAATGCCTTGCCTCAAAGCTACATATTTGAATTATAAAAATAATCTTGTTACACTAAGACAAATAATTCTGAATTCTTTCTTTAGTCAAACTAACATTATTTAAAAGGTTGCATATCATATGTGTGGTCAATCTTAGATTCTTCACACCTCTCTTCACTTATATTTTTGTCTTTCATAATTTGGAATAAATATGTTTCTGTTATTGACTAGCTAGACTAGAAACCGTGTGAAAATACGTAGGTGTTAGCTATATGCAAATTGATGTTTATTAGCTCATTTATTTTTTTCAACGTTTTTATCAATTACATCACTCCATAAGTCCATAGTCCATGAAAATATAGTATGTATAGACATAGCTAGCTAGTAATTAAACAAAACCGGGAAGGAATACTAGAATAAACCTATTCGACACCATATAATGTAATAGGAGTAAAAGAAACTCTAAAATTTAAGGTAAGCAATTAATAATAGTTTCTCCGTTCTTTATTAATTGTGTCGTTTTACAAAGATAATTAATAGATTTTGTTGATGTGAGTGTGAGGCATAAACTCCACCGTACCGGCCAATACAATGTTTTGAATTGGTCCTTGTATTGGTGTAATAATAATTAATAATCTTACACTATCTGTGGCTTAATTATACTACGTAAAAGCTACCTTATTTACTGAACTTGAAAAATTAAGGAAGTTTAAGAACATTTGGTTAGTGCATTTTGCTATAACCAAGAAAAGACAAACTAAAGTGGGCCTCTTGATTGAACCAGAATTTGCTAGGATTTTCATACAACAATTCCTACTACCTTCCTTTTTTCCCCTTTTTATTCTAGGTATAAAACTTTTTTTCTATCAATTGAAATTTTCAACTAATTGGCAATAGGATGAGTAGCCCGCTTGGATTAATAAAGTGAAAGTCCTTTGTTTTCTTTTTTTAATGTGAGACAA